AAACCTTGCCGCCGCTGACAATGGCTTAATAATTAATAAAACACTAGTAGTTTCGGAACTGCACGCGTCTAAAGTTTTAGTATTTTTAATACGCGTTAATAGGCTATTGTACGCTGACCGGGCAGTGAGACGGTCGAATTAAAAGAAATTACCTTTTACATAACTTACGATATCTCGGAAACGGATAGTCGGATCGTCAAAAACCAAAAGCCATTTTAAAGATGAAGCCTTGCCGCTGCTATAGATGTCTTAATAATTAACAAAACCCTAATAGTTTCGGAGCTGCACGCGTCTAAAGTTCTAATATTTTTAATACGCGTTGCTAGACTGTTTTGTGACAGTGAAAACTTAAAATTCTTTTTTTTTTATATTTCTTATGTATTTCCAATTGACAACGGAAGGTAACCAGAAAAGAATATAAATTGTTTAGCCGGTCGTGGTAGATTTAGCTTTAAGAAATCTCGATAGATATGTACTTCGTTTACGTTCGTAAGGTTTCTTATACTTTTAACTAGAATATATGTTAATCAAATTCAACATAAATTACTCACAAACAATATTCACGAGTAACTCGTCTTTTAGAGCGATCTGTGAGTTTCCGTTCAGTTCTCAGAACGTTATTCCGGAGGAACATGGCATAGAAAGGGTTCATGGGCTCCGTTGGAGTGTAAAAAGGGACCCGGTGGGTGGAGAGAAAGTGTAGGAGTACTGGTTTAGACTGTTCTTTCGCCCGCGGACTGAAAAACGGAATCCACGATTCATCTGTCGCCAGCAGTCGCTCCTAAAGGCGATGCGAATAGCGTTCCTGAATCACTAATAACTCCCGACAATTGTCTACTCGTTGAACTTTCCATTGAGGTGTCAAGAAACGTGGTTCCCATTTTGCAGCGACTTCGTTATCGCTCGGGCGATCGCGCAGAATCTCGTTTATTGTTCCAAAACTATATTTCTGGCGCAACTTCTCATTTCTCTTACAGTTATTCCCTGATCTAGGAGAACCGTTTCATCCAGCTTCCTTGTGCATACATGCAAACTCATTGATCGCCTAATTAAATTCGCTCGATCTCAACGGGGATTTAAACAAACGAAAATTAGCACCGTTAGCTTCCATTCCGATTTCCAGGCGTCGAAGAAAGCCGACGTTTTTGTCCCCTTTCACGTTGGAGGCGTTTTTGTCGTTCGAGTAATCGAGAAGCGAGCGGAAAGCATCATCAACAGGCCTGTGACAGCCCTTTCTTAATTAGCGCTGAAACTGCGGGGGCGTCTTATCTTTGTTCGCGTCCACGCGGCGCTCGGGGAACGTTTTAGGATCCGCGAACGAGTCTGCCCGCATAAAACCTCTCAAATATCACGCTCGGTTTGTCTGCTCGTCGCTGACAAGACCTCGTTGTCGTTTTCAAAATGTAATACCCGCTATTTACGGGCCCGAGGCTGCGAAACGAACTTCGGGGTCGCGGGCAGGATCACGGCAATTTCCCGTCCCGCTGCGATTCGTATAATTTTCGATGAATGGACGATAACAAACTTGCTTACGATTTCTTGAGAAACTACGCTCATTGTACGCTGATTCACGAAATTGAACGCTCGACGAGATTCACCCTTTTCGAACGGTAGCAATAGAACGAATCAACGCGATCATTTGTTATTTCACTCGAACGTTTGTACCCCGAAAAACGTCGGACGTTTGATTCCGCCAAGACGAAAGTCACTCTTTGACGTTAGGGGAGAGATTCGTAAATGCTTTTTATTAAACCCGTTCCCCTACATCACAAATATATTTGTACATGAACGACAGTAGCTTAACGCGTAGCTGTTCGTTACGCCCCCGCGGCGCGCGCCGCGATTTGTACGTGTCTGCGCAGAGCGAACGAACGTTTCCTTTTAAACCGCAATTACGGTAATTACGAGAATCTATCTCGTTTCCGGCGTTGCTCGCGTAACGCGACTCGCTCGCGAATATCCAATTAACGGCCATATTGCGAGCAGGAAAATAAACTTCGACCGAGTTGGCTCGCCTACCTTTCAACCTTGACGAACACTATGGGTGTTTCAGGATTCCGCGTAATTATCAGAACATTAAGTAATTAATAACTCGCGCTATGCCTGGATAGTTTTATAAACCCGTTTATGGCGTCGTGTGCTCGCACGAGCGGTGAAAAAGGAACTATAATCGTGACCGAGGAGATGCGTACTTAAACGCGTACGCCATCGCTATTAAGTTGGAGAACCGCTCGCCGCAGACCGCGTTACAGTCTTGGTAATTTCATTTAATGCACCGCATGCTTTTAACTATGTACAAGTGAAACGTTTACACGTACGTGAAATAAAAAATGATCACTGTCACGCATAGCTGACGCAAGTCTCTGGCGAGGATCGGTGCGTCACGTACTCGCCACCCTCCATAAATTTAATTGCACCGAGCCCGGAAACGGCGTTACGCCGTTTCAGAACCATGCATCGTGAAATATTCATGGGATTTATTATACATAGCTGACACGCGATTGGAACAACAGATTCTAGTTTTTCGAAAGCTATTTTTAGGAACGTTACGCGTGTTTTCAATAATCTGTACGAGTATTTCCCAACGGGGCGTGTCGCGATAGAAAATCGTAATAAACTAACGTAAAGACTTCAATTCGTTTACAAATTTTTAACCTTCGATCGGTGTCGTCCTGTCAATTTTACGTATCTCGAAGCAGAGGTCTATTTTATTACAATGTAATATTTCCCTAAATTGCGAACAACTACCGTGTAGTAAAAAATATTCAGTCGGATGTACAAGTATTCACAGTTTTGCCTCCGACACGCGACATTTTTCCACGCCACCGGTCGAAGGCTAATAATTTCAGCAATCCTGAACATTCCAACACCACTTTCTTTTTGTTACAACAGTGTAAATGGATCGTGCAATTTCAATTCTATTTGTACGAAACATAAACACTGTCATTTTATACTCGAATAAGTTGGAATATTCAGGTATCGTGAGCTCTAATCTATTTTTCGACGATGGTACTTGTATCCTCGATCCGTTTAAAGTTTTTCAACGTTAACGTTATACGAACCGACGGCCATAGGTGCAACCATGCTCACGGACGGTGGTGCATGCGACGCGCGATGGCGAACGCGTTAAACGCGGTTTCCGCAGTTAGTTTTTAACGGACAGCCTCAGTACGCTCCATTTTCTAACGTATCGCGTTAAAGTTGCGAATGAAAACGCCATTGCGCGCGAAATGGCCCGACACGGCGCCGGAGGAAACAAAGAAAAAGCGTGTTAGACTCGACAGGTGGTGCTCGAAACTATAAACGTACGTTTGGACCGTTTTAATGGTCCGAGGCTTCGCGGTCGACGAAGACGAGCGACGGAAAAGTCGTCGAGCCCTCGTTCGGTATACGAAGAAGCCACCACGGTATGGTAATTCGAATTTCTCTGAGTTGTTGGCCCGACGAAACTCGCGGAGACGCGGAAAGTATGCTGCCGGCGAAATACCGACTCGCGAACAATTTAATTGGAATTGTCGTTCTATTACGGCGTCCCAGAAAATATCGCGCCACTTCGCTTGCTTTGTTTCTTACAAAGTACGTGTATCGATCGCCGGAATGTTCCGCTCGGGTTGATTAAGAATATCTTCGCGAACTTTCGAAACTTCCCTCGTGATCGTCGCATTCTCCGGGACACCGTGAACATTTCGCGAGCCAGGAATATTCTCCGAAGTCTGTTCGATCTATCCAAGATGGCGACGAGTTCGTGGGCTCGAAATTAACGGATGTTCCGGACGGAACTCGTCCGAAACGTCGCCGTCGAATACGCGGAACGCGCCAATATTTGCCCACCGATCGTGTGGCGTCTAGCACCGTATCCAATATCGCGTTACGATATCGCGTGGTCGTTAAAACACGTCCGGGAGGAAATACTCTTTGCCAGGCAAAGTGTTCGCGATCGGTCGACCTGGATTTCCCTCCATTAATCCATTCGATGCTTTTTTTCGCGAATTTGGCGTTTCGTACAGGGCGGGACAGGCTTCTGCGTGTTAAAATAAGTCGAAAAGAACGGATAACATTTGTCCGTTCGAGCCATCGTTACGGAGCTAATCGAGTCTGAAGATCTGCCTGGCGCGTCTGACCACACGTTTACTTTTCTACTTGCGGCGCGTCGCACTCTATCGCACGCGTATCACTTAAAATTTAGAAAGTCGACTTTTTCGGTAACGAGACCTTGAATAACAAAATTTTATTCTCTTTTTCTACTTATCTTTACGCCGTGGACAGCACAGTCGGGCGAATTTTATTCACGAATAACGAATACGCGAACGTACGTAAAATGCACCATTTCTGACATTTCTTGCAATCGTTCGATCCAAATGTTAAAGGTGATGGATCGTTTTCGATTTATTTACGCCTTTGACGTTCAATCGGAAAAATGACACCGAACAAATGTGACGGCGCCGTCGATTGGAAGGAGTCGCATCGAATAAAAGACGACGATAAGGGAATTCGGGGTAATATAGGCACTGCAGGAAATATGGCCGCTATCGTTCAACTCTTTATAATATCGAGATAAAGAACATTTTGCTTCCATTTCTAAGTTTGTTATTACCCATACACACTGTTGTTTTCAATTCTAATGATCTTTACCACTTGCACTGGACAATACGTATCATAACGTCCATCCAAATGTCCATATTACCCCGATATGTAAAACATCCACCATATTTGTTCTCGTAGCAGCCGTGTTCGATAAGGTACACGAAGATTCAGCGCGTAATCGTTCATAACACGTAAAGAAAACTCCAACTAGCGTTACTTATTCTTATATTCCAAAAAATAAACTTCAGTGTCCGTGTCCATTTCGAGGGAATGTAATCGAGAATCGACAATATTCGATACGAACGATGAATCCAATTGAACTTTTCGACGAATATTCCTGGTAAGATCGTTCCGTCGAATTTGGAATCGCATGGACGTTTACGGAGGAATGTTAAAGGAACCGTTGTACGGGAAAGCTAGACGCTGGCACGCGTGAAGTGGCCCGGGGTGGCGAGGGCAGTGGTCGGCGGTGTAGTCGTGGTCGTGGTGATCGTGGTGGTCGGCCTTGGAAGCGGGGAACGCTTCATCGGCAGCCCTCTTCCGCCACGGCCGCTGTTTCCCCAGGGCCACTGCAGAGTCCGGAGCAACGTGCTCCGGAAATCCTCCGAGAACAGATAGTAGATGTAGAACGTCATCGAGTAATTGATCACCTCTAGCAAGTTCGCCATGGCGCGAAACACCTGAAAATATTCGTCGAGCCTCTGTAGATCGATGAACGATTCTATGGTCTAAACTACGAGGATAAATTGCGAAATTTGGATGCAACGATATCGAGGTATTCTCTGTTCAAAGCCATTCAGAGAATTGTCTCTATCTGGGAGCGATTAAAAGATACAGCTTGTCTCTAGGTCAGGTTCGGCGGTCGTGGAATTACGGTGCGGTGGTTGCAATCTCCGTCGCGAGGAGATTGGATCGTGCAGGGTTAACGAATCTACGCTCGGAGAATTACCTGGTAAGGATAGTGACTGAGAATGCTCTGTCTGAGGGTGACGTTCAGGATCACCATCGGACTGACGCAAACGAGGAAGAGGATGCTGGTGCTGCTCAGGAGAAGGACCAGCCTCCGTTCCTCCGCGTACGTTCTGGGGTCTTCGTCGCTGCTGACGGTCCTGGACAGCGTCATCCGCCGTCGACGGTCGCACGACCTTCTGTAGACTATCATTATACGCAGATTGAAGCCGGCGAGAAGGATCGTCGGCGCCACTTTGAAAACTATCTCCAGTGCCACCTTGTACACCTGAGGAATAAATCGCGGTGAATGAGTATCCCCGTAAATTATCGAGGATAATAACTTTGGTTACTTGATAGAACATCGAGTCGAGAAACGACTGGTTCTCCCTCTTCTGATAAATCACCGAGCCTCCAGGTGCGAGCAGGCAAGTCGTAATTTCGCCCCGAAACGCACTCGGCAGATAAACTAGAAAGGTAGCCAGGGGGATGAGGACCACCGTTAGATGCGGAGGACCACAGAGCGGCCGTGTGTGTTGACCAGGATGGCAAACGCTAACGTAACGCTCCACGGTTAGCGCCAGCAACATCATCACTCCGACCCCTAGAAAATCGATCGGTTTTTCACTTAACCGCTAAAGCACGACCGCTCAGCTGTTTTATTTAATGTCTGTATGTAACTGTAATACATTTACCGTTAAAACGAACTTGTGGCTTAATAAACTCTTACGGACTGAAACAAAGACGAAGGAACAATTGAAAGAAACAAGCCATGGAGAGGTAGTTAAAGGATAACTAAGAAGGATACGATACACGCGATACGGAATTAAAGTAACTTTAAGCGAGCTGGTCCGGTCGATGCCGCGAAAAGATAAAAAAGTATTCATACCCAAGCAACCGTTCCCGAGAAACAGTTCGAGATGAGTATGGTAAAAGGCCTGGAGCCAATTGCTCCACCGTCCTGTTTCTTTGTGAATAAGGACTCTCAGGGCGAACGGTATGCAGAAGAATATCGCGAGAAGAGCCGCTGCCGAGTATCCTGCAACCAAACCATAACAAAGTTAGACTCGTGTTCGCGAGCCAACGCGAACGGTGTATCGCGACTACTATAGCTAGTCGATCTTTTAAATATTCCACCACGGCCTACGCCAGATACTTTTTCCCGCGATAACGATCTTTGGGGCAAACTTTGTTAATTATCCAGCCTGTCCCGATCCCCGCGAATCTCGGAACAGAGATTTCGCGAGCTACGCCCTCGCCAAAATATGGACGCAATTAAAACCCGTCGAGAGAGTTCTAACGATATGTAGCCGTTGAACCATAAGATTCGAATTAAAACACGCCCGTAATGAAAAGGTTTCAATTAAGAGAACGTACACGAAGATTGTCGAGAGCCAAGGAAATTGCCTTTAGGCGAGAGGCGCGCGAGCTGTGAAATTTCAAGATTAAAGTATAATAAGAGTTGGATTTTTAAGTCCAGAGATTCCGACCGAAAACTCGATATCTAAAATTGGATGTTGGAAATTTAAAAACGGTGGGATTCGAACCTTGACCTTTGAAATTGGAAATTTTCAGTCACCGTGACGCAATGAGCTCATGAATCGTATCGATCGTTACTTACTGCACTTTCCGATTTTCTTCAATTTATTTATAATTCGTTATGGTTGCATTTGTTTTTCGAAATATGCACTCGATATTTTATTATCGGAACAATAATTATCCTTGCCAACGAATGGTCGAGTAACAATTACAAAATTTCACCTGTCGTAGGTCAGTATTCAACCATTGATAAAAAAGCTCGTTGTTGCCTGCTGATAATACAGGCACCTATGTTCTTCGTACTCGATATCAGTCGATAAAAAACACGTTTATTAATAGCAATAAAGATATACGAAAATCTATGTTAACAATTTCAAGAATGACGCACCTGTTCTTCGTTAAAATCTGTGCATCCTCCATATTTTATATTTTTAAGTGTGTTAGGGGATGGTGCAGTCCTGCAATACCACAGACAAGCTACAGAATAGACTTTGCATGCAATGCTTTTTTCTATTACATCACAGTTTCTGTCAACTAACATTCTTGAAGCAAAAGATGCTTAATAGTATTAGAATAAGCATGGACTCAGTATCCAGTGGTAAGTATAACCCTAAATTATATGTATGCCCGATTAACATTTATTCTTTTATCTCCTAGTCTTGAGATACACTCCTTCAAAATGAAACAAAATGTTAAAAAGATCGTGCATCAAATTGTAAGGGGATCCTTGTAAGAAAGCTTTAATCTTCGACTTTGTGATAGTTTCAATGGGTGATTGGTTATTCTATGGTCAGCAGTGGTTACCTTATGGTCATCGATGGTCAACAATGAGGTGAACATCGAGGTCAGGTGTCCAGTGAAGATTTAGGAATGGTCAAGAAATAGGACCAATCGAAATAGTGTTGTTCTCTTAGACCAAGCGTTTCTTAACTCTTCACGTTGACACTGTCTCCCCACTCCTCGACCATCTGTCAAAGGGATATAGGAAGACTACTGTGGACAAATTCTTCAGTAACCCTGGGGCATCCAGGGGGATCGGGTCTCGCGGGCCTAAGTCAGGCCATTCGTGGAGCGGTGACCACTACCACTGGACCAGGGCTGACCAGGGCTGACCACTACTGACCAGTACTGAACAGTGCAGATCCGACTACTGACCACTGCTGACCACTACTGACCAGTGCCGGACCGTGATGACAACTGGTAAGAACCATTTAAAATTGCTCTCCCCACTTCTATTTTGTCGTTTGATACCAATTTAACGTTATGGGACTATCTATCGCTTTTGCTAAACTACGAATCGTTTCTTATGTTACAGCTGGACCTTTGACGCTTCCTTGGTAACTAATGCTCAACAAGTAGTAAGTCCACTTGACTTATTTATATTATTATCACAAAATGACCAGTTTATTTTATTTGTTTGGTCATAATTCAATGTTGTTTGACTGTCCGGTTTTATCTGATTATGTTTTCCTCCTGTATTTCTACTACTACCTTATTTTTTGAATTGGCATGATTGTGTTGAATCATGTACCATTTTTGTTTGCTTATTATTTTATGAATTTTGTTAACCCGGGTATAATTTTTCTTTGCATACTATTTTATGGATTCTAATGTCACTGATTGAAACAAGATTTTTATTCTTGTCCTGTTTTGCTAAGATATTTCGTTTAATTCTCGAATATTTCCACTCTTTGATTTCATCGATGGATTTTCAATTCTGCTCAATCTTTGTTTCTGTTCGTCGTTGGAATTTGTCTGGTTCTTCAGATAATTTTTGCAATCGTTTGCTATTTTACTTCGACATTATACTATGAATAACTATCTCTCGTTACGCAAGTGTAGATAGAATATTTTGTTTGTATCATGTGTAAATTTTGTACATTTCCTTAGGTAGGTTTAACATCGAGAATTATCCCATCGTTTTGTTTAGTTTGCATGGTGTTTATTAAATTTACTTTCATACGTCACTAATATGGGTATCAATTTTAGTTTCAGATTATTCGCAGGGACATCGAAGTAAGACTCCACAACCACTGAGGGATTTTTAATACTAAGTTAATTAGACATAAGCTTCGTCGCGAATCTTAAAATTAACGTCGACGATTTCTTTATTCTACATATTTCCGCGTCCTACCAAGCAATTATTGAATAAGTAACGTCTCCCTCGCTCGTTCCCTCGTTCCTAGCTTCGGTCACCCCTGTTTCATCGATTGAAACATGTGATCGGCCGTGTAGCTGGTCCGACAGATCTAATCGCCTTCCCTTGGTAGCTCGATCGAGGGAAAATGGTACTCTGCTGGAAGGTGTGGAGTTTCCGTATTCTGCGGAAACGCATACCTTCCAGCGGAAGTCGACACTGTTTCAAGGTACTCTCTCTTTGTCAGACAACTTGAGTCGGGTCCTTCGGGCTCCCGGCGGGTTGCGTTGGAGAAATGGAGACCTTCGATTCGGAGTCGCAGATAATGTCCGTTATCCTATAGAGATCTAAGTTAGCAAGGGCAGTAGGTTCGATCCTCGGATCCGCTGCACGGTTCAGCGTCGCGTCGCGTCGCGTCTCGTGTCCCTCAAATTAGCTTCATCCCTGATTTTAACCAAATAATTGCTTGGTACAACTAAATCAGAATATCCAAGGAACTCTGTTCCCTTCTATCGTCCGAATTTTAGTTTCAACTTGACCAGACTCGAGTTTCGACGTTAATTTTAAGTCTCCCAATATTGCCAAGTAATTATAAAACAAGTAGCTTCTCGTTCTCTCGTTCTTTCGTTTCTCGCTTCGAGTCGCGTTTCCCTCGCATTAGCTTCACCCTCTTTAAACAAAATAATTACTTGGCAAAATTAAACTAGACTTAAGCGTGGACGACTACATTGTACGCGTATGTGTCAAGCAATTGATTATCAAGTAGCTTCTTTTTCTCTCGATCTCTCGTTTCTTGCTCCGATCATCACTGCTTCCATGTAGAAAGCAAGTGATCGGCCGTTTAGCTAGTTCGAAGGGTCAGTTGCCGTCCTCTGGTGGAAACGATCCAAGGGAAAGGGTATTTCGGCCGGTGCACTTCCCCTTCGATCGGACTTGCCAAGAGGCAACGAGCTGATCTTTTTGATTAGCTTTTCGGTTCGCGTCGCGTCTCCCTTAAAGTAGCTTCAACCCCTTTTAACCAAATAATTGCTTGACACAACTAAACTAGAAGATCGAAGGAACATTTCCTTCCTTCTATCTCTCTAGTTTAGAAGAATGTAAAAGGGAGATAGGTGGAACTTGGATTCCATCCATTTCCCTTCGGGTTTCCAATCGCAGCAACCTCCACGTGGTGAGACCTGGTAATCGGTGTTGCTCACGATAGAATGTTCTTCCTCGTGGGTAACACCGAGCTAATGGCTGTGAATTTAATATCTAATAAAATTATTAATAATAGCACTCTTCTATGATTGCTAACTTTATCATACAAGATCAGTGTACTTTAAGCAAAGAACTGGTGTGGCACTAACTTTCATATGATGCATAGTCTATCCTGTACCTCGTAATTATTGCTTGTTAATAGTTTTCGTGAATCTTAATTTTCCCGATCAACCGTACGAGACAAAAAGAATCGAGAAAGGCTGGTGAAGTTGAAATGCTCGCCTAGATAATGTCAGAGGAAATGGATGCGGAGAGAATCAAAGGAGTAATATGTTGTACGAAGCGCATCATTAGCCTTTGTGGTATTAGGTATATCTCGCATTTCCCGCTACTATTAAAACACCACCACCTCAAAGGAGTTTCCCGGTTGCATTGTTTCCGTCAAAGCGATAAATGGTATAACGGATTAGGCGTAGTTTCTGTATTTCGCCAATAAAGACGTTATAATAATAATAGATCTTCCACGCACGCATCCGAAAACCTCGATCCCTCGTGTTTTACGCGTCGACGTATCGAGAAGATAGCCGGCAGTCTTTTCGTTAATGCCGAGAATAAAGCGAACGACATGGCTGGTGATATTATTGCCTCTTTCGCGGCGAGTTTCAACGAAATTCCCGCGGAACGAGTATTGTCTCGGTCCTTTCCACGGGACTTTCGTAAATTAAATCTGTCGAGACAACGCGATTTGTAAGACGTCGCTACGAGGACGAGACGCCGAGAAATTCTTCTCGCCGCTAGATTCTTCTTCGTTAGAAACGCGTTTATCCGCGGCGAGGGAAAATGGACTTTTTGATCGAGCGTGGCTCGGCCAAGAGGTTTTAGAACTTTAAAGCGACCGCACGGTCCACAACTACGAGATTTATCGTATCGAACGCGAAACGATTCGCATTATTAACGCTCGCGGATCGAAACGTTCCGGGAACCCGACGAGAACTCGTCCTTTCTGTTTAATATATATACATATATATCCATTCCCATGAATGGACGTGGCCGAGCGGAGAGCAAAGAAAGCACGAGATACAGTTACATTTTATCAAAAGGATTTGGATCCCGTATGAATCCCGGTGTTCCAATATGTACTTCGTTCCGCAAACAGCATCGAG